TCTATGTACAATGTATACAAATACAATGTGTATATCTGAACGAAACAAAAACTTAACCCAACTGAGTAGCTTTTCAACGCAAGGTTAATTTAGTAATGAGCAGACCGCGTCCGCTGTGGTGAGGACCATACCATGATGAAATTATATAGAGTGCTACCGTCCCGCAATGCGTTCTCTTTTCGGAGCTTATTTTGCAAATACAACAACAAACTCGCTGTGATTGCATGTGTGTGAGTGATGAATTGGATTTGTGGGAGTGTGAATAAGATCCGAAAGAGAAGGACGGGACCACCTTATATAATTTCAGCATGGACCATACCATCACCTCGTTCAACTCGCTCTCTCGGCTCTCAGAGAGAGAAGCGCTACGAAAAAGACAGCACTCTTTACTTGTTGCTACTTGCATGCATACTAAGAAACGGTTGGTTTTTGCAAGGATCCCTGCCTAATTAGCATAATTTTTCCCCACATTCAATGCAAATTTGCTGTCCCAAAACCGATTTGCGATTCCAAGTGATGCTATTCCTGGTGACAAACCAAAAAAATCATTCCAAAATATCAGCGAGAGGGTCGTTGGTTCGATTCGTTGTGAGCACGTAAGGGTGTTGCACGAACTCCGGGCATAGCAGAAGACTTAGTAGAACAGGCAAGTGATCGGATGATAGATCCGTAAGATTTTTTTCATCATTGCAAAGTTTATCAAATCTTGTATCTTTCAACCATCTGTGGGTAGGTGTAAGTAGGTAGGTAAGTATCACCTGTACCGCTCAGTTGGGCCATCCATCCTTAGCTTCGACGAGCTCCGCACCTTGATCTGCCAGATCGCGGCAATTGTTAATTCTCGCCCTTTGCCCTCGCTTTCAGAAAATCCTGATGACTTGGATGTGTTGACGCCTGCTCATCTGCTTTTGGGAGGCCGGCATCAGTCAATTCTCGAGCCTGACCTAACGAAGCTCAACTACAACCGTCTGGATGGTTGGCAGCGGGTCACTCAACTGCAGCAGACATTCTGGAGGCGTTGGCGCAAAGAGTATCTGACTCTTTTGCAAGAGCGCTCGAAGTGGCGTACGCCTACGAAAAACCTCTGCGTCAACGATGTCGTCTTGGTGAAGGATGAGAATCTTCCTCCGATGCGTTGGCCACTGGCTAGAGTGGTCGACGTCGTCAAAGGCAAGGATGGAGTAGGCCGCGTGGCTGATTTGAAGACGGCTTCAGGAACCATCAGGAGGGCCGTTACTCGGCTGTGTTTGCTGCCCCTTGAGAAGTCAGTTGAAAGGCGAGCTTCCAAGGGGGGGAGTATGTTCGGGCCAGCGGCTACTTAAGCGTCTATCATAATATTAAATGTAGCTGTAACTAGTTGTATAAGAGTATCGAAACCTAAGCTTATGTATGTCCCCAGCGTTCGGCAGTGCTGCTGCGCTCTCCCTGTTAAAGGGCGCTCTGCACCTGCTGCGTCGGCTCTTGCATTGATCGGCCGTCGTGGCCCAAGTAGTTCTATGCTAATCTCTCGCCGCATAGGTTGCATACTGAACCCCCGCTTGTGAACATTTATCTGGCTGGGCTTCAGCTAGCCGCCGGTATAAATAAACATTATAACGTTTAAATCAAAGTCTTTAACTGATTTGGATAAATATAGGTGCCAAAAAAGCTTGGCATCTCAAACAGAATCTTAAGACAGATTTTGTGTTTGATCGTCAATATAGTGGCAACTATGGAGCAATGTACCACACGGCACAGACCCAAGTGTGCAGAGGCAAATCGACAATTTACAACAAGCTGCGGGTATACAAGTGGCTGGAGCGCCGCATCCTATCAAATAATACACAAAATTTCGCAGTGTTCACCAAGTACAGACCCATCTGGTTGGATCTCCAAGGGAGATCTACACGTTGGGCAGATCCGAGGCCTGTCACGTATCGGCAATGGACGATTGGTTTCTGTACAATAATTGCGCCATATTGCGGAATATGCGAATGGAGTATATGATACCCAAATTTCCATTGCATCAGATCGGGTATTGGCATGAACACTATAGAAAGGAGCATACATATTGATTGTGAATTTAGCAACAAAATCATTAAAAAGTCTTCCCTGGAAATTAGCAGTTGCAGTTGTTATTCACCTACGAACTAGAAGTGTGAAACGAAAAAAGGATTAACCGATTCTATGTACAATGTATACAAATACAATGTGTATATCTGAACGAAACAAAAACTTAACCCAACTGAGTAGCTTTTCAACGCAAGGTTAATTTAGTAATGAGCAGACCGCGTCCGCTGTGGTGAGGACCATACCATGATGAAATTATATAGAGTGCTACCGTCCCGCAATGCGTTCTCTTTTCGGAGCTTATTTTGCAAATACAACAACAAACTCGCTGTGATTGCATGTGTGTGAGTGATGAATTGGATTTGTGGGAGTGTGAATAAGATCCGAAAGAGAAGGACGGGACCACCTTATATAATTTCAGCATGGACCATACCATCACCTCGTTCAACTCGCTCTCTCGGCTCTCAGAGAGAGAAGCGCTACGAAAAGACAGCACTCTTTACTTGTTGCTACTTGCATGCATACTAAGAAACGGTTGGTTTTTGCAAGGATCCCTGCCTAATTAGCATAATTTTTCCCCACATTCAATGCAAATTTGCTGTCCCAAAACCGATTTGCGATTCCAAGTGATGCTATTCCTGGTGACAAACCAAAAAAATCATTCCAAAATATCAGCGAGAGGGTCGTTGGTTCGATTCGTTGTGAGCACGTAAGGGTGTTGCACGAACTCCGGGCATAGCAGAAGACTTAGTAGAACAGGCAAGTGATCGGATGATAGATCCGTAAGATTTTTTTCATCATTGCAAAGTTTATCAAATCTTGTATCTTTCAACCATCTGTGGGTAGGTGGTAGTTAGGTGGGCCTACCTGAGAAAAAATGGTGCAGTTTTTTGGTTACTTTGATGATTGCGTTGTATAATAGCTTTAGATCGGGAGTCATATAGAGAGAGCCTCAGTATGTGTGCTTGTAAATGCAAGCCTCTGAAACAGTGTATTTAAGTTATTTAAAAAAAATGTTTTTGGTTTTGTGAGGTCCTATTTCATGCTGAGGTATGCATCAGTCTGTCCAGGGTCCGCTACAAGAAAATTTGTAGTTTGTAGGTGACTTCAGGTGTCGGGCTGGCTTGAAATATGCAGTAGGCAAGCGAGAAATGATGATGCGAGAGTTTTTGTTTGCTGGTTTTCTTGGTTTTATTCAGTATTCTTTTTCATTCACTTTAAATTATTTTAGGTTGCTACTTTGACTCGTAGTTGAATTGTGCGCTGGTGGACTGCGAAGTGTGGTGTTTTGCTTTTGTGACTGCCTAGTCCAGTGTCTTGGGTGTGTGACTGAGGGACTGCCTAGTGCAGTGTCTTGTGTTCGGGCTGATGGACTGCCTCGTGCAGTGTCTAGTGTTCGGGCAGATGGAATGCCTGAGTCTTGTGTTCGGGCTGATGGACTGTCTGCTCTTTCGGCCGATCTTGGCCCTTTTATGCAGCTGGTGATCGCACTTGAGACCCGGAAATAATTAATTCTTGCTGACTTGCTTAAGTTTATTGGATAACAATAATTGTGGGGTGTGGTAACTAGGTCGAAGCTGGGTGCTTCGTTGACAATTGCTTAGTGGGTCAGTGTATTTTGATGAGAGTGTTTTTAGCTGAGGCTGCGTCGCAGTAGGTGCGGTCTGCAGTTGGGAATTGGGTTTTTGCTACCTCCGCATCGCGAAGGTGATATCTGAATTTGGGTCGATGTTTCGAGGCCGAGTGGTTGCGAAATATCGCCAAGAAGTGGGTGACCGCGAATTTCGTGCTGTGTTTTTCGCTGATCGAGAGTTCTTAATTTTAGTAATTGCGTGCGTTGCTTATTTTGCTATTTTATTTTCCGAAGTGCTGACAAACCGCTATTTGGGGAGAACCGTGGCTAGAGCCATGGTTCGTTAGCTCTGTGTATATCAGTTAGGTTATTGTCTCCCGGCAGCGTGGATGCGCTGATCCTCCGCCGTTTGTGACGAGCCATGGGTAGAACCATGGTTCGTTACAGTTTTTTATTTTATATATTTAAGTATTTTGCAAAATTTTTTTTTTAATAAATATATAAATAATGAAGATACATAATAGTAAATAGTATTAGTCAGCTCGAATACTCTCCGAGTGCATCTCGCAAGACTAAGCCGATTCGCCTAGGTCTACCCCAGGCGTGGCACCGTCGACTCTAAGGGCTGGTGGCCTTTAACTCCTAGCACGAAGCACAAGTCCACCACGCACAGCACCACACTCGGTGCGTTCGCCCTGCTCTGTTGCTAGCCACTATACGTCAACTCACTCTCGCGATCCATGCACTGGCTCCATGATTGCTTTTTCTCCGTCAACTAAAACTCCTCGTGCGGCTCAGGGTGGGCTGACCTAAGCGCTGCACTAGCCTTCCACGCCTTTTGAACCTGGATTGGACCATTAAAAAAAATTAACGTTTGGATTGGTGATATTTCGCGATAAGGATTGTTAAAGTAGTGTAGTTACTAAGGTAGTTACCATGTCCTTTCTCCTCTTTTTCTGCCATTCGTCCTACTTTCTTCTCTCAGTAGCCGGGCTTAACCCTTTGTTCTGCTTCCGTTAGTGCCGGGGCTTTTAGGCTCTAAGATCTTTCGCGCTCCCAATAAGGTTAACTGCTTAACAATACCCAAATTTCATTGTATCATGTTACCGTATAGATTTTGAATGTAACAGCAAAATCATCAAAAAGTCATTCATTCCAATTAGCAGTTGCAGTTATTATTCACTTAGGAACTTGTATCCATATAGAAGTGTGAAATAATAAGAGATGCCCTCTTCTATGTACATAGTATCTTTTTTCTTAAATCTCTAATCATTCGGCTATATGATCAACAATTGGCTTTAAAAAAAAATAACCTACCCTAATTATTTCATTATGAAATAATGAAACAATAGTTCATACTTAATTTGTCTACTATAGTTATCAGTAAGTTTTTAAATTTAATCGCAAACACGAGAGAGAAATCAGAAAATTTTGTTTTCATGTATGTACAATTTTACAGTCGCACAAACGATGAAGACAATTTATGCATTATTTATTGTCCTCGGTTGCCTAATTAGCGTAAGTTATTTCCATATCCAATCCGCTTCGTTATCCCCATTGCCACAGCACGTTTCATTTCCAGGTGTTGCCTTTTATTGTGCATGCTATACCCCTGCCCCTCGCCGACAATGACCGGGCTGCCAGCAATCAGATTTTCGTGCCCGCGAACAGCACCGTTCAATGGAAGTCCAGGATGGTCATGGAGGACCTGGCTGCAGCTGCGGATAACTCTGGATACCGAAGACGCGAATTGGAACGTCAAATCATGGCGAATGGGACATGGCCTGGCCAGGACAAAATGGGCCTGTTTCCGGGTGTTTATCAGAGCAAACTTCGCACAGCGGGAAAACCAACAGCAGCGAAAGGGAAAGCGTTGGTGTCGGTTCCTCAAACGCTTGTAAAAGCTGGTCTCAATTTCTGGGCCAAGCCCAAAGCGAAGCCAAAAGGTGATGTTGGAAATGTTTCAGCTGATGGAGATGACACTGGAGATGCACCAGCACCAGGAGAACCCGCACCAAAATTATCACCTAGAGCAGTCAGTGGTAAAACACGTACAAAAAGTTTAGAGAGAACAATATCCATACCGCGATTGCAGAGCGATCATATCGGCAATTGGGTAATCAATCCGTGGGGTATCACCTTCGGAGTACTGTGGCAAGATACGCGAATGAACTACCAAGTAAAGAATCTCAAGACAGATTTTGTGTTTGATCGTCAATATGGTGGCCACTATGCAGCAATGTACCACACGGCACAGACCCAAGTGTGCAGAGGCAAATCGACAATTTACAACAAGCTGCGGGTATACAAGTGGCTGGAGCGCCGCATCCTATCAAATAATACACAAAATTTCGCAGTGTTCACCAAGTACAGACCCATCTGGTTGGATCTCCGAAGGGAGATCTACACGTTGGGCAGATCCGAGGCCTGTCACGTATCGGCAATGGACGATTGGTTTCTGTACAACAATTGCGCCATATTGCGGAATATGCGAATGGAGTATATGATACCCAAATATCCATTGCATCAGATCGGGTATTGGCATGAACACTATAGAAAGGAGCATACGTATTGATTGTGAATGTAGCAGCAATATCATTAAAAAGTCTTCCCTTGAAATTAGCAGTTGCAGTTGTTATTCACCTACGAACTAGAAGTGTGAAACGAAAAAAGGATTAACCGATTCTATGTACAATGTATACAAATACAATGTGTATATCTTTGTTCTTTGATCTCTAATTTTTCGAGTTTCTGCTCAACATTTGGTGTAAAACTGAACAAAACAAAAACTTAACCCAACAGAGTAGCTTTTCAACGCAAGGTTAATCTAGTAATGAGCAGACCGCGTCCGCTGTGGTGAGGACCATACCATGATGAAATTATATAAAGTGGTACCGTCCCGCAATGCGTTCTCTTTTCGGAGCTTATTTTGCAAATACAACAACAAACTCGCTGTGATTGCATGTGTGTGAGTGATGAATTGGATTTGGGGGAGTGTGAATAAGATCCGAAAGAGAAGGACGGGACCACCTTATATAATTTCAGCATGGACCATACCATCACCTCGTTCAACTCGCTCTCTCGGCTCTCAGAGAGAGAAGCGCTACGAAAAGACAGCACTCTTTACTTGTTGCTACTTGCATGCATACTAAGAAACGGTTGGTTTTTGCAAGGATCCCTGCCTAATTAGCATAATTTTTCCCCACATTCAATGCAAATTTGCTGTCCCAAAACCGATTTGTGATTCCAAGTGATGCTATTCCTGGTGACAAACCAAAAAAATCATTCCAAAATATCAGCGAGAGGGTCGTTGGTTCGATTCGTTGTGAGCACGTAAGGGTGTTGCACGAACTCCGGGCATTGCAGAAGACTTAGTAGAACAGGCAAGTGATCGGATGATAGATCCGTAAGATTTTTTTCATCATTGCAAAGTTTATCAAATCTTGTATCTTTCAACCATCTGTGGGTAGGTGGTAGTTAGGTGGGCCTACCTGAGAAAAAATGGTACAGTTTTTTGGTTACTTTGATGATTGCGTTGTATAATAGCTTTAGATCGGGAGTCATATAGAGAGAGCCTCAGTATGTGTGCTTGTAAATGCAAGCCTCTGAAACAGTGTATTTAAGTTATTTAAAAAAAATGTTTTTGGTTTTGTGAGGTCCTATTTCAGGCTGAGGTATGCATCAGTCTGTCCAGGGTCCGCTACAAGAAAATTTGTAGTTTGTAGGTGACTTCAGGTGTCGGGCTGGCTTGAAATATGCAGTAGGCAAGCGAGAAATAATGTGGCGGGAGTTTTTGTTTGTTTTTTTTTTTTTTTTTTTTTTTTTTTTTTTTTTTTTTTTTTTTTTTTTTTTTTTTTTTTTTTTTTTTTTTTTTTTTTTTTTTTTTTTTGTTTTTTTTTTTGTGTTTTTTTTTTTTTTTTTTTTTTTTTTTTTTTTTTTTTTTTTTTTTTTTTTTTTTTTTTTCTTTTTTTTTTTTTTTTTTTTTTTTTTTTTTTTTTTTTCTTTTTTTAGATGAAGCGGGAGTTTTTTTTTTTGGTTTTTTTTTTTTTTTTTTTTTTTTTTTTTTTTTTTTTTTTTTTTTTTTTTTTTTTTTTTTTTTTTTTTTTTTTTTTTTTTTTTTTTTTTTTTTTTTTTTTTTTTTTTTTTTTTTTTTTTTTTTTTTTTTTTTTTTTTTTTTTTTTTTTTTTTTTTTTTCTTTTTTTTTTTTTTTTTTTTTTTTTTTTTTTTTGTGTCTAGCTTGGGCAGATGGAATGCCTGAGTCTTGTGTTCGGGCTGATGGACTGTCTGCTCTTTCGGCCGATCTTGGCCCTTTTATGCAGCTGGTGATCGCACTTGAGACCCGGAAATAATTAATTCTTGCTGACTTAAGTTTATTGGATAGCAATAATTGTGGGGTGTGGTAACTAGGTCGAAGCTGGGTGCTTCGTTGACAATTGCTTAGTGGGTCAGTGTGTTTTGATGAGAGTGTTTTTAGCTGAGGCTGCATCGCAGTAGGTGCGGGCTGCAGTCGGGTTTTTGCTACCTCCGCATCGCGAAGGTGATATCTGAATTTGGGTCGATGTTTCGAGGCCGAGTGGTTGCGAAATATCGCCAAGAAGTGGGTGACCGCGAATTTCGTGCTGTGTTTTTCGCTGATCGAGAGTTCTTAATATTAGTAATTGCGTGCGTTGCTTTTCCTGATTCTTGACTAATAATATGTGAAATTATTCCGAATCCTGGTAAAATTAAAATATAAACTTCTGGGTGGCCAAAGAATCAAAATAAATGTTGGTATAAAATAGGATCTCCTCCTCCTGCTGGGTCAAAAAAAGAAGTATTTAAATTTCGGTCAGTTAATAATATAGTGATTGCTCCTGCTAAAACTGGTAAAGATAGTAAAAGTAAAAGAGCTGTGATTACTACTGATCATACAAATAAAGGTATTCGGTCAAGAGTAATTCCAGAAGATCGTATATTAATTACAGTAGTAATAAAATTTACTGCTCCTAGAATAGAAGAAATTCCAGCTAAATGTAGGGAAAAAATTGCTAGATCTACTGATGCTCCTCCGTGAGCAATCCCAGAAGATAAAGGAGGGTATACTGTTCATCCGGTACCAGCCCCGTTTTCAACTATACTACTTACTAATAGTAAAGAAAGAGCTGGGGGAAGTAATCAAAATCTTATATTATTTATCCGTGGAAAAGCTATATCAGGGGCTCCTAATATTAAAGGGACTAATCAATTTCCGAACCCTCCAATTATGATAGGTATAACTATAAAAAAAATTATAATAAATGCATGGGCTGTTACAATCACGTTATAAATTTGGTCATCTCCAATTAAGGCTCCAGGGTGTCCTAATTCAGCTCGAATTAAAATTCTTAGGGATGTCCCGACTATTCCAGCTCAAGCTCCAAAAATAAAATATAGTGTTCCAATATCTTTATGATTTGTTGAAAATAATCATTGTCGCGATTAAGTGGCTGAAGTTTAGGCGATAGATTGTAAATTTATTTATAAGAGTTATTCTTCTTAATCAATGGTCTTATAGTCAATAATGACATCAAACTGCAATTTTGAAGGAGTAAAATTTACTAAGGCTTAAAGGAATTCCCTATATTTACAGCTTTGAAGGCTATTAGTTTTATTAACTTAAAGCCTTAAAGTATAAAAAAAAATAAAGTAATTAAAGGTAACCCGAAAATTGAAAAAAAAGTAAAAATTAAATATAAATTTGTGTTTATATTATTAAATTGTGTATTAATTAATCAATTATTTTCATAGTAATTTAGTATAAATGCTGAGTAACAGATTCGTAAATAAAAAAATAAAGTAATTAATGTAGATATTATTATAACTGTTAAAGAAAAATATTGGTTGCATAATGTTAATTGTTGAATTACTAATCATTTTGGTAAAAATCCTAAAAATGGTGGTAATCCACCTAGGGACAAAAAATTTAAAAACAAAGTAAATTTTAAAATTTTTCTACTAACAAATCAAGAAAATAGTTGGTTTAAATGGAATAATTTAAAAATATTGAATATGAAGGTTAGAATAAAAGATAAAAAAGAATAAAATAAAAAGTAGATAAATCAAATTGATTCTCTAATTATTAAACTCATTAGTATTCATCCTAAGTGGTTAATTGATGAAAAAGCTATTAATTTACGAAGAGATGTTTGATTTAAACCTCCAATTGCCCCTACTATTACTGATAAAATTACTCTAATTAGTAATAAATTTTTGATATCTAAATAAGAAATTAGTATCAAAGGAGCAATTTTTTGTCAAGTTATTAATATTAACGCGTTTATTCAAGTTAACCCTTCCATTATGTTAGGGAATCAGAAATGAAAAGGAGCAGCTCCTCTTTTTAGTAATAAGGCAGATATAATAATTATTGAAGTAAATGAGTCATTAATTTCGATATTTATATTGTTTTTTAATATAAGAATAATAGAAGAAAATAAAAGTACAGTTGAAGCTAAAGCTTGGGTTAAAAAATATTTTAAAGAAGCTTCTGTTGATGTTGAGTTGTTATTACTATCTCTTAGCAGGGGGATAAAAGATAGCAAATTAATTTCAAGACCTATTCAAGCTCCTAACCAAGAGTTAGATGTTACTGTAATTAATGTTCCAATAATTATAATTGTAATAAATAAAATTTTTGAAGAGTTATTAAAAATTAAAAAGAAAAGGATTATAACCTTTATAAATGGGGTATGAACCCAGTAGCTTAATTAGCTTATCTTTTTATATTTTATAAATTTATATTTTGGTGTATGATGCACAAAAGTTTTTGATACTTTTAGAAATAGTTTAATTCTATTAAATATAAAGTCTTTATAAAAAAAACAACAAAACTTGTTAATGAATGCGGTAGACCGCATAATTTACCCTATCAAGGTAACCCTTTTTATCAGGCAATTCATTAATAGTAGGATTCCCATTTTTTTTTTTTTTATTCTAATATTTTTTTTTTTGTAAATTACAAAAATAAAATATAATTAATTTATTTTTTAATAATACATTTTAGTATTTTTTTTATTAGTGGTGTAAAAAAAAATTAAATAATTTTATTTTTCTATATATATATATATGTTATATAAATTATCAACTATATATAAATATATAAATATATAATAATTTAATAAATATTTATATATTTATATAAATGTAAGAAATATTAGATAAACTATATAAAAAATAGATATTTACAATTTATGTAATTATTTTTGGATTGCGAAATTTTTTATTTAAATTGTTAACTATATAATAATATATTAAACATTTATATATATATAGATTATCTATTAATCTAGAACTTAGTATACAACATTTTATTTTAAAAATTATAAAATTATATATTAATAAATTTTTTATATAAAAAAAAAAAGATGAAGGTTTTTTAATAATAATATAATTTATATTAATTTATAATAATTATTTGTATAGATTATATTAAATTATTTAAATATTTTGATTTTTATAAAGTTAATGTTTTATAAAATTTATATTTATTTATAATAACTATTATTTTAATTATACTAAATATTATTATTTTATTATAAATTATTAGAAATTATATTTTTTGTTTTTATATCATTTAAAGTTATAAATTAAAATAAAAAATAATAAACAGTTTTCATGTTTTTTTTTACATTATTATTGTTTATTTAAAATTTATTAATTTAGGGGAATTAATAGATTTTAAAAATTTATTTAAAAACAAATTATTTTAAATAATTAATTTATTAAATGTTGTTTTAATATATATATATATATAAAATGTATATTTATAAATATATTTACATGTTTATGAATTGGTATTTATTAATTTAGGGGAATTAATAAATTATTAAATTTAATAATTAACTAATTATTTAAAATTATTTGTTTTTATTAAATAAATTAATTATTTTGTTAAATTTTGGTTTTAAATTATCAGATTTAGTAATTAAAATTAATTATTTAAATTAATAAAAATTAAATTTGATTAATTAATTAAATTATATTATTAAGAATAATTATTTATTTTTTATAAATAATTTTTTGTTATTTTATTAAAATTTTAAAGTTTTATTTTGGCTTAAAAATTTATTATTAATTTGATTTATATGTAAATTTTTGTGTGGAATTATATTTATTTTAAAAATATTTATAATATATTTATTCGCAGTAATTAATATTATAAATTAAAGAAATTTAGAAATAGCAATATTAAAGAGTATTGACCAAATTGGTGCCAGCAGTCGCGGTTACACTAATAATACAAATAAATTTTTTTAGTAATAGTTAAATTTATTTATTAAAATAAAATTAAATTTATTAAGTGAAATTTTAAATTTAAAATATTTTTATTTAAGATTAATTGAAGCTAAAAAATTTTTGAAAAAAACTAGGATTAGATACCCTATTATTTAAAATGTAATTGTTTATACTAAAGTAGTAATAGTTATGTTCTTGAAACTTAAAAAATTTGGCGGTATTTTAGTCTATCCAGAGGAACCTGTTTTGTAATCGATAATCCACGATGGACCTTACTTAAGTTTGTAATCAGTTTATATACCGTCGTTATCAGAATATTTTATAAGAATAATAATATTCAATAATTTTTATAAGAATTTATATCAGATCAAGGTGTAGCTTATATTTAAGTAATAATGGGTTACAATAAAATTATTTATACGGATAAAATTATGAAAAAATTTTTGAAGGTGGATTTGGTAGTAAAATTATAAAGATTAATAATTTGATTTTAGCTCTAAAATATGTACACATCGCCCGTCGCTCTTATTATTAAGGTAAGATAAGTCGTAACATAGTAGATGTACTGGAAAGTGTATCTAGAATGACAATTTAAAGCTTATTAAGTAAAGCATTTCATTTACATTGAAAAGATTTTTGTGCAAATCAATATAAATTGAGTAGATTTTATTTACTAATTGATTTTATTTATAATTAAAGTATTAGAAATAACTGTAAAATTTAGTGTTTTAGTATTGTTTAAAGAAAAAATAATTTTAGTAATAGTTTAATAGTATTGTAAAAGAAAATTGAAATAATTTGAAAAAATTTTATTTTAAAAGAAAATTTAATTTATTGTACCTTGTGTATCAGCGTTTATTAAATAAAAAAAAAATATTTTTTTTTCTCGATTTTAAAAGAGTTAATATAATATATAAGTTAATGTAACAAAATTATTTAAAATATTATATTAGAAATGAAATGTTATTCGTTTTTAAAGGTATCTAGTTTTCTAAGAAATGAATTTAATTTAGAAATTATAAATTTATTAAATTTTTTGTTAAATTTAATAATGTATAATTTTAATATTTTATGGGATAAGCTATAAAATAAATTTTTAAAAATAGTAAATAAATTTAATAAATATATGCTTAGAATTAGCAATTATTAAAAAATGTGTTATAATTTATTTTATAAATTAAATTATTTATTAAATTTTAATTATTTATTAGAATATCAATTTTAATTTTTAAGATTGAGTAATAATGATAGAATTAGTATATTTTTATGTAAAAATAAATTTTAATGAAAAGTTTAAGTAAAGAATTCGGCAAAAATAATGTTCGCCTGTTTAACAAAAACATGTCTTTTTGAATTTAATTTAAAGTCTAACCTGCCCACTGAAATTTTAAATGGCCGCAGTATTTTGACTGTGCAAAGGTAGCATAATCATTAGTCTCTTAATTGGAGGCTGGAATGAATGGTTGGACGAAATATTAACTGTTTCATTTAAATTTTTTATAGAATTTTATTTTTTAGTCAAAAAGCTAAAATTTATTTAAAAGACGAGAAGACCCTATAAATCTTTATATTTTTTTTATTTTAATTGTTAAGATTAATTTTATTTTAATAACAAAGAATATTTTATTGGGGTGATATTAAAATTTAAAAAACTTTTAATTTTTAAAAACATTAATTTATGAATAATTGATCCATTAATAATGATTAAAAAATTAAGTTACTTTAGGGATAACAGCGTAATTTTTTTGGAGAGTTCATATCGATAAAAAAGATTGCGACCTCGATGTTGGATTAAGATATAATTTTGGGTGTAGCCGTTCAAATTTTAAGTCTGTTCGACTTTTAAATTCTTACATGATCTGAGTTCAAACCGGTGTAAGCCAGGTTGGTTTCTATCTTTAAAAAATTATAATATTTTAGTACGAAAGGACCAAATATTAAAATAATAATATTTTTAAAATGAATATCATTAATATATAAAAGCTATTTTGGCAGATTAGTGCAATAAATTTAGAATTTATTTATGTAATTTTTATTACAAATAGTACTTGTTTTATATAGAATTTATTTTATCATTAGTTGGAAGTTTATTACTAGTTATTTGTGTATTAGTAAGAGTAGCTTTTTTGACTTTATTAGAACGTAAAGTTTTGGGTTATATTCAGATTCGTAAAGGTCCAAATAAAGTTGGTTTAATAGGAATTCCTCAACCTTTTTGTGATGCGATTAAATTATTTACAAAAGAACAAACTTACCCTCTTTTGTCTAATTATTTAAGATATTATATCTCTCCAATTTTTTCATTATTTTTATCTTTATTTGTTTGAATATGTATACCTTTTTTTGTTAAATTGTATTCTTTTAATTTAGGGGGTTTATTTTTTTTATGTTGTACTAGACTAGGTGTTTATACTGTTATAGTAGCTGGTTGGTCTTCAAATTCTAATTATGCTTTGTTAGGGGGGTTACGAGCTGTTGCTCAAACAATTTCGTATGAAGTTAGATTAGCATTAATTCTATTATCTTTTATTTTTTTAATTGGTAGATATAATATGGTATATTTTTTTTATTATCAAATTTATATTTGATTTTTTTGTTTTGTTGATAGTTTTTCTAATTGATTTTATTTATAATTAAAGTATTAGAAATAACTGTAAAATTTAGTGTTTTAGTATTGTTTAAAGGGAAAAATAATTTTAGTAATAGTTTAATAGTATTGTAAAAGAAAATTGAAATAATTTGAAAAAATTTTATTTTAAAAGAAAATTTAATTTATTGTACCTTGGTGTATCAGCGTTTATTAAATAAAAAAAAAATATTTTTTTTCTCGATTTAAAGGAGTTAATATAATATATAAGTTAATGTAACAAAATTATTTAAAATATTATATTAGAAATGAAATGTTATTCGTTTTTAAAGGTTATCAGTTTTCTAAGAAATGAATTTAATTTAGAAATTATAAATTTATTAAATTTTTTGTTAAATTTAATAATGTATAATTTTAATATTTTATGGGATAAGCTATAAAATAAATTTTTAAAAATAGGTAAATAAATTTAATAAATATATGCATAGAATTAGCAATTATTATAAAAATGTGTTATAATTTATTTTATAAATTAAATTATTTATTAAATTTTAATTATTTATTAGAATATCAATTTTAATTTTTAAGATTGAGTAATAATGATAGAATTAGTATATTTTTATGTAAAAATAAATTTTAATGAAAAGTGAAAAGTTAAGTAAAGAATTCGGCAAAAATAATGTTCGCCTGTTTAACAAAAACATGTCTTTTTGAATTTAATTTAAAGTCTAACCTGCCCACTGAAATTTTAAATGGCCGCAGTATTTTGACTGTGCAAAGGTAGCATAATCATTAGTCTCTTAATTGGAGGCTGGAATGAATGGTTGGACGAAATATTAACTGTTTCATTTAAATTTTTTATAGAATTTTATTTTTTAGTCAAAAAGCTAAAATTTATTTAAAAGACGAGAAGACCCTATAAATCCTTATATATTTTTTTTATTTTAATTGTTAAGATTAATTTTATTTTAATAACAAAGAATATTTTATTGGGGTGATATTAAAATTTAAAAAACTTTTAATTTTTAAAAACATTAATTTATGAATAATTGATCCATTAATAATGATTAAAAAATTAAGTTACTTTAGGGATAACAGCGTAATTTTTTTGGAGAGTTCATATCGATAAAAAAGATTGCGACCTCGATGTTGGATTAAGATATAATTTTGGGTGTAGCCGTTCAAATTTTAAGTCTGTTCGACTTTTAAATTCTTACATGATCTGAGTTCAAACCGGTGTAAGCCAGGTTGGTTTCTATCTTTAAAAAATTATAATATTTTAGTACGAAAGGACCAAATATTAAAATAATAATATTTTTAAAATGAATATCATTAATATATAAAAGCTATTTTGGCAGATTAGTGCAATAAATTTAGAATTTATTTATGTAATTTTTATTACAAATAGTACTTGTTTTATATAGAATTTATTTTATCATTAGTTGGAAGTTTATTACTAGTTATTTGTGTATTAGTAAGAGTAGCTTTTTTGACTTTATTAGAACGTAAAGTTTTGGGTTATATTCAGATTCGTAAAGGTCCAAATAAAGTTGGTTTAATAGGAATTCCTCAACCTTTTTGTGATGCGATTAAATTATTTACAAAAGAACAAACTTACCCTCTTTTGTCTAATTATTTAAGATATTATATCTCTCCAATTTTTTCATTATTTTTATCTTTATTTGTTTGAATATGTATACCTTTTTTTGTTAAATTGTATTCTTTTAATTTAGGGGGTTTATTTTTTTTATGTTGTACTAGACTAGGTGTTTATACTGTTATAGTAGCTGGTTGGTCTTCAAATTCTAATTATGCTTTGTTAGGGGGGTTACGAGCTGTTGCTCAAACAATTTCGTATGAAGTTAGATTAGCATTAATTCTATTATCTTTTATTTTTTTAATTGGTAGATATAATATGGTATATTTTTTTTATTATCAAATTTATATTTGATTTTTAATTATTTTGTTTCCGATAGCTTTAGTATGATTAACAATTTCTTTAGCTGAAACAAATCGTACTCCTTTTGATTTTGCTGAAGGAGAATCAGAATTAGTTTCAGGGTTTAATGTTGAGTACAGAAGAGGAGGATTTGCTTTAATTTTTATAGCTGAATATGCAAGAATTTTATTTATAAGTATATTATTTTGTGTAATTTTTTTAGGATGTGATGTATTTAATTTATTATTTTATATTAAATTATCATTTATTTCTTTTGTTTTTATTTGAGCTCGTGGTACTTTACCTCGTTTTCGTTATGATAAATTGATATATTTAGCTTGAAAATGTTTTTTGTCTTTTTCTTTAAATTATTTATTATTTTTTATTGGGTTTAAAATTTTATTATTTTCTTTTTTATAAATAATTTTATTTAGTAAAGTTAATAGAAAATTTAATTCTATCTTATGTTTTCAAAACATATGCTTATTCAAGCTCATTAACTAATTAATTTAATAAATTATCTCATCATTTTCTAACAAGAGGGTTAATTAGGTAATACAAAAAGTAGACTACTGTTAAAATTTGTCCTAGTAGAACATAAGGTTCTTCTACTGGTCGGGCTCCAATTCAAGTTAATAAAATTACTGTTACTAATATAGTTCAAAATAAAATTTGATTAATTGGGTAAAATTGAATACCTCGAAATTTTCTTAAATTGTAAAAAGGTAAAATTATTAAAATTGCAATTGATAGTACTAAAGCGATTACTCCTCCTAATTTATTAGGAATTGATCGAAGAATTGCGTAAGCGAATAAAAAATATCATTCAGGTTGAATGTGGGCTGGGGTTACTAAAGGGTTAGCTGGAATGAAATTGTCTGGGTCCCCTAGTAGATTTGGGTTAATAAGAACTAATGAAATTAATAAAAAAATTATTACAATAAATCCTACGATATCCTTAAATGTAAAATATGGGTGAAAAGGAATTTTATCAATATTAGAATTTAATCCAATAGGGTTATTTGAACCAGTTTGGTGTAAAAATAACAAATGAATTATAGTTATAGCTAGAACAATAAATGGCAAAATAAAATGAAATGTAAAAAATCGTGTTAAAGTTGCGTTATCAACAGCAAACCCACCTCACACTCATTGGACTAAATCTAGTCCTAGGTAAGGAACTGCTGATAGTAAATTTGTAATTACAGTAGCTCCTCAAAAAGATATTTGTCCTCAGGGTAATACATAACCTATAAAAGCTGTTCCTATTACTAAAAATAAAATAATTACTCCTACTAATCATGTTGGAGTAAATAAGTATGACCCGTAATATATCCCTCGTCCTACGTGGAGATAAATACAAATAAAAAAAAATGATGCACCGTTAGCGTGTAAGGTTCGTAATAATCACCCGTAGTTTACGTCACGGCAAATGTGATTTACTCTATAAAAAGCCATATTTACATCAGCTGTGTAATGTATGGCTAGAAATAGTCCTGTTAGAATTTGAATAATTAAACATAATCCTAGTAAAGACCCAAAATTTCATCATCTTGAAATATTGATAGGAGCTGGTAAGTCTACTAATGCGTTATTAGCGATTTTAAATAATGGATGGGAGGTTCGTAAAGGTTTATTCATTAATTAATTTATTATACGTAGAGGTCCTTTGAATAATTTAGTAATTTTTACAACAACGATTAATGTAATTAATAAATAATTTATTAATAAAATTGTGATTAGGTTTGTTGGAAAATTATAAAGTTTATTTAAAGATAATGAATTTTCTGAAAAATAAGAATTTAAATTAAAAATTGAGTCTATTTCGTTATTTATTAAAAATAATGAAATTGAAGATTTATCAATAAAAATTCTGATAATAAATAAAATAAATAAAATTAATCTTGAAAATAGAGTTAATTTAATTGACAAATTAAATATTTCATTTGAAGCTAAAGATGTAACATAAATAAATAGGACTAGTATACCTCCTAAGAAAATTAAGAATAGGATATATGAATATCAAAATCTTTTTGTTATTAGTCCTGAAATTAGACAAATAAAAATTGTTTGGATTAATAAAGTTAAACCTATAGCTAGTGGATGGATTATATTTAAGAAAATGATAGTTGTTGTTAGAATTAATGAATATAAAATTAATTGAATAATTTCAAGAGGTAGTTTATTTAAAATATTAATTTTGGGGATTAATGAAAAAGAAATTTCTTTTCTCTTGAAGTTTTAAAAGAATAATTCTTATTTTTGATTTACAAGACCAATGTTTTTATTAAACTATTAAAACTAATGATTATAATTTTATACTGAAGATTACCTATAATTTTATTTATTTTAGGTTTATTTTGTTTTGTTTCTAATCGAAAGCATTTACTTTCTATATTATTGAGTTTAGAATTTATTGTTCTTATATTATTTTTTATATTATTTATTTATTTAAATATATTAAATTATGAAATTTATTTTAGAATAATATTTTTAACTTTTAGAGTGTGTGAAGGTGCTTTGGGTCTTTCAATTTTGGTGTCAATAATTCGTACGCATGGAAATGATTATTTTCAATCTTTTAGAATTATATAATGTTAAAATTAGTATTTTTTTTAGTATTTTTAACTCCTGTTTGTTTCATTAATAATATTTATTGAATGGTGCAAATTTTATTATTTTTAATTAGATTTATTTTTTTAGTAATAAATAATTTTATAAATTATTGGTCAGAAATTTCTTATTTTTTAGGGTGTGATATACTTTCTTACGGTTTAGTTTTGTTAAGTTTATGAATTTGTTCATTAATATTGTTAGCTAGAGAGAGTGTGAATAAATATAATAATTATAAAAATTTATTTTTATTAAATATTGTTTTACTGTTATTATTATTAGTATTAACTTTTAGAAGAATAAATTTATTTATATTTTATTTATTTTTTGAAAGAAGTTTAATCCCTACATTATTTTTAATTTTAGGTTGAGGGTACCAACCTGAACGTTTACAAGCTGGTGTTTATTTATTATTTTATACTTTATTAGTTTCTCTCCCTATATTAATTGGTATTTTTTATATCATAAATGAAGTTGGGTCTATAAATTTTTATTTAATAAATAATTATATATTTAATTATGATTTATTATACATTTGTATATTATGTGCTTTTTTAGTTAAAATACCTATATTTTTAGTTCATTTATGACTTCCAAAGGCCCATGTTGAAGCTCCTGTTTCTGGGTCAATAATTTTAGCTGGAATTATATTAAAATTAGGGGGGTATGGCTTATTACGAGTTATCTCATTTTTGCAATTAATAAATTTGAAGTATAGATTTATTTGAGTTAGAATTAGTTTAGTAGGAGGTGTTTTAGTAAGTTTGGTTTGTTTGCGTCAAACTGATTTGAAATCTTTAATTGCTTATTCGTCAGTGGCTCATATGGGTATTGTATTAGCCGGACTTTTAACTATAACTTATTGAGGTTTATGTGGTTCTTATACATTAATAATTGCTCATGGATTATGTTCTTCTGGTTTATTTTGTTTAGCTAATGTTTCTTATGAGCGGTTAGGAAGACGAAGAATATTAATTAATAAGGGGCTATTAAATTTTATACCTGCTATAACATTATGATGATTTTTGTTGAGTTCTGCTAATATAGCAGCTCCACCAACGTTAAATTTATTAGGAGAAATTTCTTTATTAAATAGAATTGTTTCTTGATCTTGGTTAACAATAATTATATTATCTTTTTTATCATTTTTTAGAGCTGCTTATACTTTATATTTGTATTCTTTTAGTCAGCATGGAAAATTATTTTCGGGAGTTTACTCTTTTAGAGGTGGTAAAATTCGTGAATATTTATTGATATTTTTACATTGAATACCTTTAAATTTATTAATTTTAAAAAGAGACTCATGTATATTATGATTGTAATTTAAATAGTTTAATAAAAATACTAATTTGTGGTGTTAGTGATATGAATAAATTCATTTTAGATCGTGAAATATTTATCAATTTGTAGAATTAGATTTATTAATTTAATTTCTATTAGATTAAGTTGTTTTTTATTAAGTTTATATTTTTTGTTAAATAATATAGTTTATTTTATTGAATTTGAATTAGTTTCATTAAATTCAATAAGAATTGTGATAACTTTTTTATTCGATTGAATAAGCTTATTATTTATATCTTTTGTTTTAATAATTGCTTCATTAGTAATTTTTTATAGAAAAGAATATATAAGAAGAGATGAAAATATTAATCGTTTTATTTTATTAGTTTTAATATTTGTTTTATCAATGATAATATTAATTATTAGACCAAATTTAGTAAGAATTTTATTAGGTTGGGATGGTTTAGGATTAGTTTCTTATTGTTTAGTTATTTATTTTCAAAATGTAAAGTCTTATAATGCTGGGATATTGACTGCCTTATCTAATCGAATTGGGGATGTAGCTTTGTTATTAGCTATTGCTTGAATATTAAATTATGGTAGTTGAAATTATATTTTTTATTTAGAAGTTATAAAAAATGATTTCGAAATATTAATAATTGGTTCATTAGTTATATTAGCGGCTATAACAAAGAGAGCTCAAATTCCTTTTTCTTCTTGGTTACCAGCTGCTATAGCTGCACCCACACCAGTTTCTGCTTTAGTTCATTCTTCTACACTGGTTACAGCCGGGGTTTATCTTTTAATTCGTTTTAATATTTTGTTAAGAACTTCTTGATTAGGGCAGTTATTATTATTACTGTCTGGTTTAACTATATTTATAGCAGGTTTAGGGGCTAATTTTGAATTTGATTTAAAAAAAATTATTGCTTTGTCAACTTTGAGACAATTAGGGTTAATAATGAGAATTTTATCGATAGGTTTTTATAAATTAGCTATATTTCATTTATTAACTCATGCTTTATTTAAGGCTTTATTATTTATATGTGCTGGGGCTATTATTCATAATATGAATAATTCTCAAGATATCCGGTTAATAGGAGGTTTAAGAATTCATATACCTCTGACTTCAGCTTGTTTTAATGTGTCTAATTTAGCATTATGTGGTATACCTTTTTTAGCCGGATTTTATTCTAAGGATATAATTTTAGAAGTTGTTATGATTAGCAATATTAATTTGTTTTCATTCTTCTTATATTTCTTTTCTACAGGGTTAACTGTTAGTTATTCTTTTCGGTTAGTTTTTTATTCAATAACAGGTGATTTAAATTGTGGAAGTTTAAATATATTAAATGATGAAAGTTGAATTATATTACGAGGAATGATAGGTTTATTAATTATAAGAATTATTGGGGGTAGAATATTAAATTGATTAATTTTTCCAATTCCTTATATGATTTGTTTACCTTTATATATAAAATTATTAACTTTATTTGTTTGTATTTTTGGTGGCTTATTTGGTTATTTGATTTCTTTAACAACATTATATAGTTTAAATAAATCTTTATTTGGTTATAATTTATCAGTATTTTTAGGTTCTATATGATTTATGCCTTATATTAGAACTTATGGAATAATTTTTTATCCATTAAGTTATGGTCAAATTGTTGTAAAAAGATTTGACCAAGGGTGGTCAGAATATTTTGGAGGGCAACATTTGTATCAAAAATTAGTTAATTATTCTCAAACTTTATTTTTAATACATAACAATAATTTAAAAATTTATTTGATATTATTTGTATTTTGAATTTTAATCTTATTTAATTTTTTATTATTTATTTATTCAAATAGCTTATATTTAGAGTATGACACTGAAGATGTTATGGAGATTAATTAATCTTTGAATATAGTGAATTTTATTTAGTAATTTATAAAAAAAATAAAATTTTATTTTTACAATGAAAATGTAATGTTTTGTTTAAACTATATAAACAGAAGTATAAATGGAATTTAACCATTAAAAGAAAAAAGTTAGCAGCTTTTACTTGATCACCATACTTCCTTAATTGGAGTTTTTACTCAATTGTATCATTAACAGTGATAAGCCTCTTTTTGGCTTCAATTAAAGAATAAGGGTAAAATTACCTAAGATTAGGTCGAAACTAATTGCAATAAATCGCTTCATATTCTTTAAGGTAGATTGGGTAACCAATACTTTTTGAATGCAAATCAAATGTTATAATTAACTACAACCCCAATTAATTTGATCAATTTAGTATTCCTTGGTTTCATTCATGGTATAAACCAATTAACAAAATTAAAATAAAGATAATTGATGTTGTTGTTCAAATAAGAATATTTGAAAATTTTAAGATGATGATTATTGGTAAAATTAAAGCAATTTCTACATCAAAGATTAAGAAAATAATTGTGATTAAAAAAAATCGTAATGAGAATGGGAGTCGTGATGAAGATTTTGGGTCAAATCCACATTCGAAAGGAGAACTTTTTTCTCGGTCGATTAAAGCTTTTTTAGACAAAATTGATGCTAAAAATATTACAATAGTAACAATTGTTAAAATTAAAGAAGCGATTAAAATAATTGAAAAAATTATCTATACTGTTATTAACAGACTTTATGATTGGAAGTCAAATATACTTTTATATTATATAGATATAAATATTTTATTATCCTCCTCACCAGTAAATTGTGATGTATAAAAATAACCAAACTACGTCTACAAAATGTCAGTATCAAGCTGCTGCTTCGAAACCAAAATGATGATTTTTTGAAAAATGATTATTTAAATGACGTAATAAACATACTAATAAGAAAGTTGTTCCGATTAAAACATGAACTCCGTGGAATCCTGTTGCTATATAAAATGTTGATCCATAAACTGAGTCTGCAATTGTGAATGGTGCTTCGATATATTCGTATGCTTGTAAAATAGTAAAATATACTCCTAATAATACGGTGAAAAATAATCCTTGTGTGGTTTGTGAATGATTTCTTTCTATTAGTCTGTGATGTGCTCAAGTTACTGTGATACCAGAAGCTAGTAAAATTGCTGTATTTAATAAAGGAATTTGAAATGGATTAAAAGAAATAATTCCTATTGGTGGTCAAGAAGCTCCAATTTCGATTGCTGGTGAAAGTCTTCTGTGAAAAAAAGCTCAAAAAAATCTTACAAAAAATAGTACTTCTGATAAAATGAATAAAATTATTCCTCATCGTAATCCAATAGTTACGGCGTAAGTGTGTAATCCTTGATATGTTCCTTCACGTGATACATCTCGTCATCACTGGTATACTGTTAAAATAGTAATTACATTTCCTAAAAAAA